CGGGGAAGCTGGCCAGGCCGCACGTCCGTTGTGGCCGTAGGCACGTGCCTCCGCTGGGGTGCAGAGAGCCGCCGCTCGCCCCCCGGCCAGCCCCACGTGCGGGCTCCTGCCCACAGCACGCCCGGCTGCGAGGAAGGCACAAAGAGGGAGCGGAAGAGAGGGGACCCGCTTGTTCGAGTCGTCACCCCTCACGTGAGGCCAGTCACGGCTTTTGCCCTGCCGAGACTGGGGGTGAAGGAGCCTTCCAGGCTCCTTATTCCCCGGCGAGGAGGGAGGAGGCACCATCCTCCCTGTAACAAGGCGTTCTCAAACTGTTCTTAAGCGGAGCTTGACCCGACGCTAGCTTTCACACCAAACACATCCCAGCTAGCCTTGGGTGCCCTGGAGTTCAGGCACTGGTCAATCCCTTCATCCATACAGGCGAGCTAAAGTACTCGTGCATTGGCATCTACCAGCTTTTTCAGGGAGACACACACAGGAGCATACGTGCAGTAGACAATTTTTAAGAAAAATCAGCACGAACCTGACCGATCCAAAGTAATTTTAATTAAATCACAGCAGGACTGAGGAGGGCCTTTTATTAATAACAGTTAGACAGACTTTTCGAATGCATTTGAGCACACTAATGTGTTTTGATGCTATCCCATAATAAGAAAGAACAAACCAATATGTTAAGAGACACGTGAGGGCTCGAAAGGCTCCTAACTGGATTAATAATCTCAGGAATAATCACATAATAATTCCTGAATTGTGTGTTGGCGTAAACTAGAAACAAAGCATTAAGAAACGCAAACTTACTGCATTGCAAGACATTATCTTTCTAAGGAATAAAGGTCTTCCAATCACTGCTGCTCTAAAATAACAAATATAGATAGGAAATGTTTTAAAAACCTGCTATTTGCCTGCTAACTTCCCCTAATAATTTTACAAACTTGTACTTACATTATAATTAATGTTCTAAAAAAGGAGAATGGGGACGGGGGGGAGCTTTCTGAACATTTTTTTCATCTGGTTTGGGAAGCTGAAGTGTCACAGTTCTCTTTCTGAAAAAAAAATTTTAATTCTGGTAAGCAGTTCAAATAAGCATGCCTACACCACTAGATAATTAATTAAATTAATTTTAAAAGCAGAGGAAAGCACAGTTTAAATTTATCATATATCATCTTTCACAATGCTGTTACAAAAAATACTTATTAAACTGATGTATCAACTTAATACTGATGTAGTAAATTGACGTTATCAGTTTAATACATCATCATTATCCAATGGCTTGCCTTTAATAAAAAATAGTGCATTGAAAATGCTTCATGCTTTTAGTTTATACTGCTTATTTTATCCCTTCCTTAACATACAAAAATCAGACAAAAGTACCTAAACGCAGCATTTTTTGCAAACAGTGAATATTGATACCCAGGACAGTTCTTAAAATAGGGCAGGTAGACCCATTCGTAAAGACAACTGCTTTAAACAGCAGGCATCACTGTTGTTTTTCAAGATAGCCCTGTATCAAGCCTTGAACCCGAGACAGAATAATCTCATTGGAGCTGCTGCACTCTTCTGGACTGTATGGCGGGTCAATAGTTAATACCCCTGCCACGCATAGCGTTCTTCCCAATTCACCTTGCTCTGTTACAGGGATGTGGTTTGTTTCTAGCCAAGTCTTCAAGTCATTCTTCCTCTTTTCCAGTTCCTCTGGGCTGTAGGCTTTGCTTTCTTCAGGTGCAAATATGCAAGAAAGCCGTTGCTTCATTTCATCGTCCCCTTCTTTCAGTATTTCGACCTCCTGGACAGCATGGCCCAAGACAACCGATATGGACACTTTTTCATTTTCCAGGAATGTTGCAAGGACAATACTGCCAAGGAAAGAAGGATCCATGAGTCACTGTACTCAACTGAAGACTGAGAAGCACAGGCCAAGATTCTTGGAGATGAGTGCTCATTAGCATCAGTGTAACCCAGGTATTTAGGCAATATCGAGTATCCAGCATTTTTCTTGAAAACCATGCTGCTATACCCTTAAAATACTGAAAATGTGGGGGTTTGTGGCTAACTTCTGGCCTTGAATTTGAAACTACTCCAGATACTATCAAGCACAATGTTATTTTTAAAAAGCAAAGCGTACATTAAAATCAGGGCTGGGAATCTAAATATTTTTGTGCATCATTCCCAACATTGCTGAAGAACCTTAGGTCTTCCAACATCCAAAACCAAGGATACCTTCATACATTCAGCTTAATATTTAATTATTAATCATTACTAACAGAATAATGGGGTTTTTAAAATGAGTGTTGCTAGTTTCTTAACTGAAAACTACAGCTTGAGTATTACAATGGGAACACACCACAGCAGGTTCAGGCTCATATTGTAGCAGCCTGATCTTTTCCCAAGGGCACTTACATCCCAGAAGTCCTAAAACGTAGGTAGGAAGGCAGCTTGTTATGTTTCTAGGATCTCTTCCCTATATACCAATGAAGAGGATCAGAAACCATTTTCTTCCTTGTGTGGGAAGAAAAATTCCGGAATTCGATGCCAGCACGTTGCTACTCTACTGTTGCCACCACTAGTGGAAGTAAAGACTTTTTGGGAAATGTGCAATGAAGCATGCTTTGATTTTAGCCTGGGCCATCCCCAGAATCACTCACAGCTGTGGGCACCTTTCCTAGCAAAATGATAAGCAACTCCAAGAGAAGATTAGAGTATCAGAGCTACTCCAGAGTTGAAGCAACAACCAATTCTTCCAAAACACATCAGAAGCTGGATGTGTTAGATTCTAGCCTCCATCTTGTGCTCATGTGGGACAAGCTCACAACCAAAAGGGTATGAAAAACCTCTGGCAGCAAGGACCCAAATTTCTGCCTATTCCCTGGTGCATTCTGCCTTTCAAACCCTGTGTTCAAGCTACACGCTTGAGATAGTAGAGACCTGCGGTACCACTTTCTGACCAATGCCCCTGCTGATTTTCCCTGCTTCCTCTCCAAAGCAGCCACTACACCCTCACGAGTGTCCAGCTGGAGGGGAAAGCAGGGCATCGCTGTGAGAACTCTGGCCAGAGGATAAGGATTTCAACACCTAAAGCATTTTAAATGTTCTGCTCTCTTTGTGAAACAGGGTTTGGTGTGTTATTAAAAGTAGTCCTAAACACATGGATATCATTTAAAATACTAACCTCAAGTCCACAATAAAGTCAGCATGAATCCAGATATTATGCATTCCCCAAACTTACCAGTCCTTGGAATGAGATAAAAGTGGATTTAGGTGAACTGGCCTCATCAACTACAATATTACTTTCTCTTAGGCCTTGCCAATTAAAAAAACAGGGGACAGCCCCAACATACAGGTTTTGCTCCAAGTAAGTTTGCTTCAGTCTTGGGATCTTTTCTTTTCCTGAAAAACTTGTTTTCTCTTAGCTTTACAGAAACAAAAGCTTCGGTACTTACCTGGCAGACACTGGATCAATTGTTAAGACCCATCCTTCATATTCATGTTTCTCAATTGCAGCAACTTTCACCATTTTGTTCACATACGTTTCCCAGTCTAGAGGGCTTTTCCTCTGCCAGTCATTCATATTTCCTACATCCAGAGCCTAGAAAATCGCCAGAGCAATCAGTAGAAGCAATGAACCCTTTTGCTTTGCCCTTCACATCAGAACCGAGTTTGCCTCCAGGTAAAGACCTTCCATTAGTCTTAAGCACAGTCTGCCTTTTTTAAAAGCAAACATGCACACAAGCGGTTTGCATGTTGCTGCAGTTCTGCAATTCCCCACCCATTTCGCTTGTTTTTAAAGGCACACAGCGAAGCCTCAAGAATCACTGTTCTGCTCACTGAACACTTTCCCGCTGCATTAAACATTCCATTTACCGCTCTGCTCTCTTACAAAAGCTTCAGGATCCCTGTCCCTCGAGGGCAGAAGTTTGCCCTGTGCAGGGCACATCCCCGAGCCAAGCCCTCCCGCTGCCCGCGGAGGAGCGTTATCCGCCCGGACGCCGCCTCCACCCTCTTTTTTTCTCCCCCGGCCCCGTCCCGCCCCTCCCCCCGTCCCAGCCGCACTACCGCTAACGACAGCGAAGCCACCCGTGCCGCAGCTTGGGGCCGCGCAAGCGTTCGTCCCCATCCCGGCATCCCTCCGCCAGAGGGGCTGGCGAGCGATGGGGCAGCGCAAGGAGGACAAAGGCCTGGAGGCAGCGCCCGCCCTCCTCCGTTCCCTCCGGGCTCCCTAGCGCTGCCGCCCCCCCCGTCTGT